ATAAGCTGGAGAGGAAATGACACCTTGCTAATTTAGAAGATCTTCATTTGGCCTGGATAAATAATTGCTCTATAAGAAAAAAAAGGGTCTTTGTAAAGCTAGGACATCTTACCATATGTAAGAAAGAGGAAAATGGGAACCCCCTAGGTTGTCAGCCTTGTACCCAGGCTGACAGAGTTTGAGCTCTGTTGAGCTATTGCTTTAGCTTTGACTAGTGATGACTTCACTCATTTCTTTAAAAGTCACCTCCCACAGACGTGCCTGTAGTGGTCGCTGATGTTTGCTAGTACTGTTTCCCTCCTATCCTTATTTACTTATTTTCATTCATTTTCTCCTTTAAATCATCAATAAGTCTAATTCCTACAATTAATTAATGTTTCAGTTTTAAATAGTTTATCTTTATTAAAACAGACCTGTTTTACGATTGTGGCAATTAATTATTTACTTAAAAAAGCTTTTACTGTCATAGCAAATTATTGTATAGACCAATTTCTATCCTTCATTTTATTAACAAAATATTGTAAGAATAGTTCAAAAATAGCTGGACAAGTGTATGCAAAGAAATTGTTTATTTGCGGAGTTTCAGTCAGGATTCAGACTATAGTGCAGAAACAGCACGAGTGAATGTTACCAATTATCTTTACATTGCCTCAGAAAGTGGACTTATTCGATTCAGTTTAATTCAATTCAGTGTTATTTTATATAGTGCCTTGAGGCAACTTATCGTGCTACACCTCAGTGCATCATTTGATATTCTTGACAATAATATTTTATTATATAGATTAGAGCACACAATTGATATTAAAGAAATTGTGCTGTAATGATGTGACTCAACTCTATCTGACAGACTTCCATGTGTTGTTAATGTAAATGAGGAATCTTCTTAGTTATGGGGTTCCGTTACTTACACTACACCAATGCCAAGTAGCTGGTGGACCTAATATCAGACCACAGCAACCTCTCTGAACAGGCAGACATCCAAGACTGGCTTTCCAGTATGAGGAGTTGGACACCACCAAGCCCTGACATGATTCACGCCTACTGGCTGAAGAAGCTGACTGCACTCCATCGTACAAATGAACCAGCTAATAACCAGCCAGTCAATGAGAGATACCCAAAATGGCTAACCGAAGGCTGGGCAGTCCTGACACCCAAGGACCCCCAGAAGGGACCTGTCCCCTCCAACTACCGACCAATAACCCGCCTCAGCACCACGTGGAAGCTCCTGTCAGGCATCATAGCGGCTAAGATGAACATGGCTCAATAGATGAGAAAGGAATTTGCAAGAATACCAGAGGCAGAAAACACCAGCTACTGGTAGATGAAGCAGTCACCCGAGACTGCAAGACTAGGCTGACCAACCTGTGCACCGCCTGGTGACTCAATGCCCCACACCTGGATCCTGGAAGGCCTAGACCTATACAACATCAACAGGACTTCATCAGGAACTCAGTGGGGGTGTCTCTCTTCACTTCTTGTCCATCTAAGGCAATGCATTTGGAAAACTTCGAGCTTGCTCAGGTTGTGTTTGAGCATTGTCCACGTCTCTGCGCCGTAAAGTAGAATGGGCAGGATCAGGGTTCGGTAAAGGCGGATCTTTGTCGCCAATGAGATGTTGTTCTTCTTCCAGACGCACCAGCGCAGGGAAGCGAATGCTGCCGCCGCCTGCCCAATTCTGGAGCGTATCTCCACTGATGATGCCACTTTCTTCTCCTCGACGAGGGACCCCAGATATTGAAATTGTTGGACTTGTTTGATCTGCACACCATCGAGGTGGACGATCGTTGGTGAGCCGTCGGTGGTCAGGACTTTGGTCTTCTCGGCGTTAAACTTGAGGCCGTACAGTTTGGAGTGCACTCCAGTGGGGATGTGGCGTACAACACTAGAGGCCAACTTCAAGCCCATAGCACAAGTCACCATCAAGTGAGGGATCTACCAAGGAGACGCTCTGTCCCCACTGCTGTTCTGCATAGGCCTGAATCCCCTCAGTGAGATCATTGACAAGACTGGCTACGGATACCAACTACAGAATGGATCAGTTGTCAGCAGTGTGACTTACTCTGAAGAAATTATGATGGGACCCTAAAAAAAATTACTATGTACAATAATGGATTTCTATACATTTTACATCAGATGAAAACGTTTGTTGTAAGATTCAGATAATTATTTTTAAAAGCTAGACATTTTAAATGAGAATAAGAAAGAAAAGTATTTCTTTGTGCCCCCTCTCCCTGTTAATGCCCTACCTGGCCCCCTGGCAACACTTTGCTAGACCCGCCCCTGCACAGTTACCAGCTGTCAGCTACCTAAAAAAGGATCCTGGTGTTATTTGTCTCTCAGAAACAGTTCATAACTTCAACTCATTCATGTCACCTAAAAGGTAAACCTGTTTCTCCATCACAGCTCTGATGATCCAGTAAGGACATCTCCTGGTTTCATCTTCATGTTTCCCTCTCACCAGATAACCAAACCATATCATGACCAGCAGCTTTACAGCTGTGGCTCCAGCAAACATCAGCTGATACTAGAAATTAATATTAAATAAATTCTAACAACAGCTGATCAAGCTTAAACGTGCTGCTGTTGTTTAGCGCGACATCCGCTGGTTTCCTCTTTCTGGCACAAAGTGGGCGATAAACAAACAAGAGAGCCGATCAGCTGATCATTGATCAGTTTCATGATTGAAGTAGCAACAGGAGAGGGAGGGGAGAATGAGAGAAGAAGAGGCAGCTGTGCAGCAAAGACACAGAATAACTCCAGCTTTGTGTCTTTTTCATTGTAGCTGAAGTCCGGGACAAACTGTTCCTTTTCACCTCAATAAGAAACGTGTAATATTTTCTTTTCGATTCTGTTTTTTACGGGACGGTTGGAAACTCTACTAACTAACCTTATAAATAAAATAAGACAAAACAAGTTCACCATCAGTAACATCATAACACCACCCAGCTGTATATAAACTCCATCATGCTAGCTAGTAGCAGTACAAGTTATTGTAACTGACTGTAAAAACTCAGCACAACGAAAATAAACTCCAGCTAAACCTGGTTTATATCTGACCCAGAGAGACTGCAGGTTATAACTTCTTACCTGAAGTTCAGTTCACCGCCTCGGGTCTCTGCTCCTCCTGCATTTCATCCACCTGCCAGCGTGTTGCACCTGCTGGCCTCCACCACTTGCTAATGTTACTGAATCTGTGGAAGCTCCACAATAGCCACCACCAAACAATTGAGTTAATTTTACACATCTCCCAGCATCTGGCCAATCCACCACCTTTCATTGTTTATACCGTTACGGGAAAAAAACGAAAAAAATTTGTTTTTGCCGATGGCCAGTCCAGCTATGCCTATTTGGGATTAATGACATACTGAAAAATGAAGCAGTACATGTGATGCTTTTGAGATGCTATAGCATGGAGGATCACAATCTGCTGGTACTTTTCTGCCTTTATCATTTTGACAAGATCCTCAGCACCACTGGTTGAAATGTAGTCCCAGTCTATGTGTGAAGGTTACATTTTCAAAGTTTCAACTGAACACATGGAAAGATATTTCATGCTGTTGTGACAGGTTCCCAGGAACAACAATAGCAGAGAAATACAATCTAAAATTTGTTCTTCGCTAACTTGTTCTTTATAGATTCCACAATTATTCATTTCTTGAATTAAGTGATTTACAGGTTAACTGGATTAAGAAGCAAGCAAACAAACAATGTTCCACCTAAAATTTGTTTCCAGTGGCTTTAAATCACTGATTTTGTTAGGTTTCTCTCCAAGCCTGTGTTCAAGGTAAATAAATATTAGTTGCAATGATGATTTGTACTGCTTTTAACAGCATACAGTATGAGTTCTGTGTAGCAAACTAAGTTACTGTGATTTTATACAGAGATCTATTTTTTTGTTGCCATCATTGTCTTAGTGGATTATTTTGCTAATGTAAGTAAATTTGTACGTAAAAAATAGATTGAAACTCATATAGAAGCTCAGTTTTCTTCCATCTGTGACAAAAGCTCAAATAGCTCCATATTTCCACATTTGTATCTGTGGATATGCAAACATGCAGTTGTGATCACAAGTTCACATCCAATCATCATCATCTAACCCACGCAGGGTCAAAGGTGCATATACAGGCTCAAATAAATAAAGTGTGTAAAATCTCGCTGCAGTCGGCTGAATTCTGCATTATTATTTTATACTCGGATAAAGTGGATGAGGATGGATGGATGGATGGATGGATGTTTTATAACATGACAAGGCCAAGGCCTGTTAAACGTTTTGTTAGTGATCATGACTGACTTCTTTCTGTCAGCATAATTTGTTTGGCAGCACTCTTCTGATTGGCCTGAAGATCCAAGAGCTAAGAAGGAGAACTGTGGTCAGTTATCCAACCAGAGTTTTGTCACAAGCTTGTTGATACAAACGTATCCTGTTAAGGTTCAACTTGCTAAGCGACATTTCACCAAATATTCATATGTAGATATGTAGATCCTGTATTTATACTGAGGTTGGGGATTGCACCTAATACTTAAATAAAGATCTGTTCTGTACACTTACTCCACCCTGAAAGATGCCCATAATGAGTCTCAGACCACAACCGTAGATCTTTGACATTAGGGCCTTTCTGGCTTTAACATTTGACATTTTTATTTTTTCTTTGCATGTCTTCGTGCTGTAGTAACAGTATACTATTACAGAATAAATGAGGTAATGTGACTTCAATGCAGGATAAGGGAAAATGCACACATGCGTGAGAACAAATGCCTTTTTGTGCTGAACATTTCTCTTTGTATTTCCTGTCGTGATTGTGGTTCAAAGTGCTGCTGCTTTAAGTGCTACTTGCTCAAACATTCTGCATTGTAAAGAACATGCAAAAGGCTGAGTGTAGTGCCAGCCCTCTGTATGAACTATGTGTGTAATTATTTGCATGATAGTCAGCATGCAAGAAACAAGTGTGTTTCTAATACTACCTTTGCTTGTTTTCTTTGTCTCCTTTTTTTTGCTCTAGAAATCAACAGCAACAACATGCCAGGTGAGTGTTTTTAGTGAATAATGTCAGATGGAAGCAGATATTCAGACAAGTGCAAACAGACTTGGTGACAACAATGTGAAGCTACTGTTCCAGCTTAATGATTTACTGAAACGTTCCTGTCTGTGCTTTAACATAATTCACATTGCATTCCCTGAAATGGGATATTTCTTTTACAAAGGAGGGACAAATGACTAAGACTTACCTCTAACAAGTTCTATAGAGATATTTAAGTATCCGATTGAAAACAAAGAATTTATTAAACTAGAGCATTGCAGTAATTCTCATTATTTTACTGTCTTTGCACAAAAGTGATGAAATTCAGTTCTTGTGGACTAAAACTTCACAGGACATTCATGGTGTGTCAAATGCTTGGACAGCTCACGAGCTGGCCTTCAGGAAATCATATTTAAAATATTATATATTCTGTCACAATTCATTTTAAAGCAGCTATAATACTAAAAAAAAGACTAAACCAAAAAATAGACAATAACCAGAAACAGAAAAACAGACATGTCACTCCCATCAACTGGATGTTTAAATAAGCAGCTGTGTGTTAGCGTGACAGGGACATAAACTAATAAAGTGAAGACATTTCAATAATGTGTTTATAATTTGTGTTTGCTGCCTCAAACAGCCAAAGAGCAAAGAGCAGAAATCGCATTTTTATGTCTATACAGCAGGTCAGTTGAGTTCTGCTACACAAACGTAAAAAGCACACATGAGCTTTTTATGTCTTATACTCGTTACGAGGAAGCCTCCTGCTCAGGCACAGGAAGCTGTGTGGCACCTGTGTGATCTGATGCTATGCTTTCACTATGGGTAAAAGCATGAATCATCACAATACCAGAGGGTATTGAAACTAAGTGTTCTCTTTGCTGAAATATTCTCTCTCTTTCCTCTCTTTTATACCTTTCCTATTTTCTTAAGGCCTTGCACATATGATGGCAGAGCAAGGTATGCCTCTCTTTATGTCTTTGCTACAAGTCTATCTTTGGTTGTGACTCTGTTGTGCTGTGCTGTGGTTGTTTTTGATGGTGTTGTTCAATATACAATGTTATTTTATTTCCCCTCTCTCCTTCTTTTTACTGTCCTAAGAAAACTGTAACAAACAAAGCTTGTTTTTCCTGAAATGTGTTGTCCTGGAGAGACTGTAGCTACAGTGCGCAGCATCAGACGTAGTCTGTAGAGTGTTTCTGGAAATCGGGCAGAGCCAAGCGTTACAAGGTGGAAGTTAAAGGAGGAAGTTCAGAGATGAAGTGAGACAGAAACAGCCAAGGAGGTGTATGATTTATACTGTGGACAGAGGAAAGAAGACAAGGACAATTGTCTTTTGGTGGAATGAGGTTGCACAGGACAGAAAAGGCATTTCACAAAGGAAGGAGTGGGAAATGCAAAGAAAAAGGCTTTTATTGGTTTGTATGTAAAACATGACCCTAAGGAGAAAGATGGATTGGCAGTGATCGAGCTAGAATCAATGTGAAACAGGTCAGGGTGATTAGGAATAGAGATGGACACGGGTGTTCACTGTGCACCCGTGTGCACACAAAAAAAAAGGAATAGAGATGGAAATGTAGTAACAAGTTACAGGTGTGGTACGAAGATGGGAGGAGTACTCTGAGAGGCAGATAAATGAAGAAAGATGAGAGAGAGATTAGGATGGATGGAGGAAAGTTAGTGATTCAGAAAGTGCAGAGAATTAATAAGGAGGAAGTGAGCAGCTTTAAAAAGGGATTGAGAGTGAAAGGCACTTGGTCCACATCACACACTGGTGCAGGTGTGTAGATGTCCAGGAGAGAGGAGCTGTGCCGGTACTGATGGCTACAGAGAGAGTGGAACCATACCATGAAGCTATGAGAAAGAGTTTTTAAAGTGACCCGATGATCAGTGAGCAGCAGAACGAGAATTACAAATGTGATGCTTGCTCTGAGAATGTTGATGGAGAAGTATAGAGAAGGTCAGAAGGGCTGCACTATTTCTATCTGGAGAAAACGTGTCGTAATGTCAAGAGAGACACACTGAGATGTCTAGTGAGAGTAGGAAGACCGGAGAGGTGAAAGTATGCAGTGGATAGAAGAGGAATGAATGTCAGTAGAAACGGGACAAAATGCATGAGTATGAATGAAAGGGTAAATTAGTGAAACAGCTCTGCATGGTCATGTAATATATATTGTAAGTTTATTTTCATGCATGCATCTCTACTTTTAGATATTGTACAAATTTCCTCATTTTCCTGATGAGTGTTCTATCCGCCCCTTTTCCCAGAAGTCCTCTATTTGAGTAGTTACTGCTCGTGGCTTTCATGTGTTTGAGATGTACAGTTACATCAAAGATGGTGCTGTGCATTATTGAATTCTATGACATGATATGGTTGGTGTCTGCTATAATTTGGACTAAATTTCCCTCTTCTTCTTCTCCCCTCTCTGGGCACTCTTGGCTGTGGATTCTGTGCTGTCTCCGCCTCCCCTGCTCTTCTAGCTAAAAGCAAAGGTACAGCTTTTTCAAAATCTTTCCTTTTCCACCTCTATGAAAAGCGACGGTTGCTCTGTGAGTGTTTAAGAGCAGTGCAGTGTTATGTGTTTGATGTTTTTAAGGTGTGTATTTGTCTGTATTCACTTCTCTTGTGTAATGGCTTTTCACAGAGAGTGCTTGGAGTAAGCAAGTAATTAAGCCAACTTTAATTGAAGAAGGAAAAAACACACTGTGTTGCTTTCTGCTTGTTTATAAAAGCGTGCATGTGTTTTGTAATTTGATCTGAGTTGTATACAGTACACCTGTGCGGAAGCTGCATGACGTTAAAAGAACAAGCGTCACTGTGGGGCAGTTTACAGAACAACCAGGAGAAAATAAAGGATCTTCTCCTGGCTGATGGAACCAGTGACAGAGCAGGTTGTCCTTAAACAATGCTCAAAATGTAACCAGTGTGTTGTGGTCTGAGAACAATGTAGGTGCATTTAGTTTATTTATGTTACTGATAATTCATCTTATCAAGCAAAATCATGCAAACAGACCACTGATACAGAACAGCAGATCATTTAAGCTTTCCAGTAATTTAGTCTTTAGATAGATGCTGTTGATGTTCAATACCCGATTCTGCATCTCTTAATACAAACGTGCTCCAGAGAAGGGAAACTGCTGTTGGTGACCTTTTGGGCAGATTTCACCGTTTTTGCAGCGCCGTCTTGTCAGCCTCAGAGCAGTTGCCATAACAGACAATTATAGAAGAAGTCAGAACACTCTCCACCAGAACACGGTACCCCAAGATCAGCTACTTCAGCCTCCTCATGAAAAACAGTCATTGATCAGCTTCCTTCATAATACTGGCTGAATTCGTGGCCCATGTGAGGTTGCTCTTCCACCTCTTTCCTGTACGTAGAGATCAGACCAACAACAGCCATCTACAAACTTCAGAATATGATTGCCTGGATACTTTGCTGAGTAATCACGTGAGAAGTGTACACAGTAGAGGCCACCATACACACCCTTGTGGAGAGCTGGCTTTAAGTTTGATGGTGGAGGATGGCCTGCCTGTCAAGACGTCCAGCACCCAGTTACACACAGTAACAGCTTATTGGTTAGTGTCTGTGGAATGATGGTATTAAATACAGAGTCAGAGTTCAGAAAGAGCAGGCTGACACATGCATGAGAGCAGAGTGGATGACAGACTGGTTCTTCCTGTATGCATGCTGCTGTGGACCCACACTGATGTCAACTGACTCCTGAATGGGGCCAAAAGCAGCCATTCCAGCCACTTCATGATAAGTGGGGTGAAAGCCACCAGGCAATAGTTACTCATGGCTTTCTCAGCTGGGTCTTTGGGCACTGGGAAAACAATGGACCAAAGCCAGAGAGAGAGAGATGTTAAAAATGTCAACACCATGGTGAGTTCCTGAGCACACTGTCTTAAAACCCAGTGATGCTCTTTATTTCCTTCCACGTGCTTCAAGGGCCACTGGTGAAAAAATGACCATGTATATTTTGGGCATAGGTTGCCTTTCCCAGTTTAATATCTGCATCCAATTCCCTCCCTGCTCTTCTCAGTGCCACTGGATCTTCAGATGCAAACGCTGAGCCCTGTATCCTTAATAGATCTCACCTCCACATTTAGCCAGGGTTTCTGATTAGGAGAGATGATTATAACCTTTGTGTTACACATTGCACTTGCTGATGTATCCACAATCTGAGCAAGCAAAAGCCTTTAAAGTCCACCCCGCCATCATGAATTGCTGCCTCTCTGAAAACCTGCCAATTGGTCTACTCAGAATAGTCCTGGAAGCATCCTTCCAAGCTCATCACATGAGCTAGGATAATTTTCAAGCCCTCCAAGTAATGGCCCATGGTGCTGAAGGAAGGGAAGTTGAATTGGCTGATTTTAGGGACGGTCATCTCATCCATCATTGAGCAACCAGTCAAGAGTTTGGGTAAGCCTGAAAGACTCTGCCGCTATCCAGGAGCTAAATCAAGAACTTGGAAAGTGGCTTACCAAGGTCAACAAATCTGGCCTGTCTGGTAGATTTAAAAATTCTAGATAGTATGGAGTGTACTGGATTTATAAAGCAGAAAGCCTCCCGTCTGTTATAATGTTATAAAGTATTAATTGAACTTCAAAACACTTGTTCCACTGCATGTACAGTTGGTGCCACTCTATGTTTGATGATCACATAATACTTCAGCATGCCAATTCATTTGGAAATTTAAGAGCTGCAGTAGGTGTTGGTACAAAGTCTTCAGTGCAAAAAGGTTGTCGGGTGTTTGTCCTGAGAAGCTGTGATTGGCTGGATCTCGCTGTGTACACCTGTGATGGCTTCCCCCATTCACAGAAAAAGCTTGTGTAAGCTCCTGGAGATTCCTCTTCCCTCACCACCTGTGCGGTTTTTCTTGTTACTGTGTCTAATCCTTGAGCAAGATGTAGACATTATTAGGTATCACACACATACACAGGCTCCCTGTTGTCTCGTGTTAGGCAGACAAGAGGCTCCGTTCTGGCTCCATTTGCATGGCAGCTCACTGGTGGCAGAATAGCAGAGCAAGAAAGGAATAATAAAATTTGGTGCGTCTGCAGTTGTGGAGTCACATTTCTTGATGTTTTGGGCTGACATAAAGCGATTCTGTCCTCATCTTGTTCAGATATCTGGTCAGACTCTTTTTGTCTTTTTATTATTTCCATGGTCAGTCACCCTCTCTGCTCTACTTATCTGTCTTTGCTTTCTTACTCTGCATCTTTTTACTCCTCTTTTGTTGTCTTTCCTTCACTGCCTGCCCCTCTTTCTTTGGCTCATCAGTTTTTGTTAGCTTCGTTCTCTGTTTGTATTTTTTCTTTTATTGCATTTTTGTATACCTTCTGCTCATTTACATAAGCCTATGCGTTGTGATGAAGCAGTTAAGAGAGTGTGTGCAAAAATGCACACTGGCAATAAAGCTGTCGCAATCGTAGCTGAAACTAGTTTGTAATGTGAACAGTTTTGAGTTGTAAAGTCTTTCCTGAGATAAAACTCTGTTCAGTTTTGTTGCCTGTGAGGATGCACTTTTCTGTTTTCACTGGTGTTTATGACGATGAGTGAACAATATCACTACCATGCATGTTATCTTGCTGTTGCTTCAGACATCACTTGATTCATACAAACAGTAAAAAATCTCTCTGATAGATAGTACATGAGCCTATAGCTTGTTTGTAAAGATACTGCAATAAAGTATCAACCTAATATACAATTAAACCAAAATGTTAAAGCAGTTTCGATAGAGTGCAGTTTGTGAAAACAATACTGAGACATATCCATAACATTGTCTTTCTCTAATAAGTAGTTAAGCTGCTCTGCTGTTACTCTTTTTACAAAACCTTTGACACAGAATTCTAGACTGGTCTGTAACTATTCGACAGAGGTGCATCTACTGTGGTTTCTTTGGCCCAACAGCAGCTTGTTTGAGCTGGAAACTCAGCAATAATCCTTTCCATGATACAGTGGCCAACACAGTCAAACACAGTCAAACACACTAATTAAAAACAAAAGTAGGAAGGACATCGAGGGGGCTTGAATTTGGGGGACATTATATTGAGACAATGATGGAGAAATACTAATATCAGTGACCTAATTTACAAATTGTTCAAAAACTCATTGTACTCACACCTGGTGCATGTGGAATATTGGAAGAGACAATATTGTTGCATCAGGTGTGGAAGCCACCCATAAATGTTCTAACTTGTGACAATATCTCATAAAATGACAAATATTTATCCAAGGACAAACATGTTACCATTGGACAATATTTTGTGTCAGAGTTGCTCCTGTACCTGAATAGATTGAGAGTAAAAGGATGAAAGAAAAGTGTCATGAAATGTGGGGATTATTATATGTGCAGGGCCAGAAACATGTTGCTGAAAGTTAAAATACTCTGTGATAATGATGAGATCAGCAGCTGTCCTACAAGAGTCCATCAATCAAGAGTTCGTCAATATGAAGGTTAAAATCTCCCAGTGTTACATCCATCTAATGATAAATGACAAAGGTCATTAAATTCAGTTAAAAAAGAGTCCAGCAATGCCAGCAGGTAATAGATTAAAATAAAAGGTTTTCGGAGAACCGACCTTAATCGTCTGTAACTCAAATGAAGAAAACCGGTTTGAGTTCATCAGGCAGCAAGTCCTCTGCTATGACTCAAAAGACACGACGTTCCATTGACGGAGCAGCCAGAGAAGTGAATATAATCTATATGTCGCTGCCATGTCTGAGTCAGCAACATAAACTCTACAGAGTCCTTAATAAAGACATTATTTAGAATAAATAATGTAAACATTAAGCAGGGCAAACTGGATTGGTGACCATTGATTGGGACATTCAGCAGCTCACTGGAATTCAACACCTGTACACATCTGTGAACCTGCATTGACTCCTAAAACAGATAAAACGATCACTGATGAGAGGACATCGCTGCCACCAGTGAAACAGACCCAGATGACCATTCTGCCATCGAGCCGTGGACCCAGAACCACAGACAGCAGGGCAGTGTGCCTGCCAAGTGACAGGAGAGGAACTGGCCACAGGCGCTGGGAGTCTCCCCACAGCCAAGAAGCTAGCCTCCAATGCTGCCTGTTTCACCTCGATAATAACTCTGTGTGTTGTGTACAGTATCAAACACTCCACTGAGGAACACAGAAAGGAGGAAAGGCTTTGCTGTAGTGTCTCCAGCTGTCACATTAGCTGTCCAATGAATCCGTAATGTACGTCGATCCTGAATTCAAACAGCATACAAAAGAAAAACATAACGCTGCAAATGGTGATGGCCGGCAATAAAAAACTGCACCAGCAGCGGCAACCAAACATGGGTGCCATCTTGAAGAAAGCCCATCAATACAGATATTCAAGTACACACATTGATCCAGTACTGAGTAAAATTGGCCTCTAAAATAAATCTGAAAATCCTGTGAAGCTGTTAGATCAGGTCATGGACACAGCGATGTGGGAGTGGGGGATGCTTGGACATTTGGGTTTTCT